GTTAATGAGGTTGTTAAGGATTATAAGCTTCTAATGATTACTAATATTATTCAGAAAGAAGTTGTAAAATTTTGGCATCAAATACAAGAGATTAATAATATTAAATTTAAACTTGTAGATTCAATGAACTTATATCTCACTGAAAATGCTAATTTAAATATTGATGTGCAAAACATCAACAAATTCCTAATAAAAAAAATTATTAGGTCAAATAGTTCATTTTTTAAAAGTATCAAAGTTTTTATTTTACAAATCAAGAACAATTAAAAAATCTAATGCATTATGAATAGCTAACCCTAATTGACTTAACACACAACTAAGATTGCTTGCTGAAATTTCTTAGTGATTATCTAAATTCTGTCAAAATTATAATAAACTATTAGTAAATAACCCGTCAAAATTCTGACAAATTTTGAAACCTGTCATAATCAAAATTATGTCAAAATTCTAATTAACAATTAGTGTGAAACTCATTAAAATTATTATGATATTTTTCTGAAAGAGTTTAGGTAAGCATTCTTATATACAATATAAATAAATATGATTGGTACTTATTTACTTTATATATTCACAATAACTATAGTTATTGAAATGTAAGTGTATATTTTTTTGTTATGATGATTATAGTAACATTAAAAATTATTCAGAAATTTGCTTCTTATTGAAGTTCACAATATATATTTCTGAATCAAAGTAGTATGAAAACAAACAGTATCACAATCACTTTTTTTGATTTCTCTGCAAGTGAACAAAAATGCAATGTAATTCTCTGTACTGTACATATTACTCAAATATGAATAAGTAATATTTATTACAGTCTGACTCTTGACAAGCTAATTTGAGTTATATATAAAATTCAAATTGACTGTAAAACTTTTATTCAGGATACTATAACTAACTGTTCTGTTCAAGCAAATCCAAGATATAATTTCTAGGCTATACAAATTCATGTTTGCTATATTAAATTCTATTGATTCAATATTCATTCGCTCATTCGTTCGCTCGTTCATTTAGTTATTCGTTTGTTCGCTTGTTTGCTCATTTGTTCACTCGTTTGTTCGCTCGCTTCACGTGATATGATCTTTATTCAATAATATATGAGATATTTATAATCCAATAATAAAATATTATGACGAAAGATCATTATACAACAATATAATAAAATATAATTAAATTATTAATAAGTATTATTTTATATTTTTAATATATTCAATATTAATTATATATTTCAATTTTAACTTTTATTTTTTTACAAGTAATAATTTAAAAGTTAATTAATAATATATTTTAATTAATATTTTAATTATAATATAAAAATTAATTTTGATTATTTATTCTAGTTAAATTATAATTGGAATTAATTTTGGATATTTAAAATCAAATTTAATATTTATTTTATATGTTTTTTTTAATTTTTATTATTATCATTAAATATTTTAATTTTACATTATTTTTTATATCATAAAATAATTAGTTTTTAATTTATTATTTTTTTAAACAAGTTATTAATATATTAATTATTAATTACTTATTTTCAAACTTGAATAAGTTATTTTTCTAATTTATAATTATTTTGTATTTATATATTTAATTATTTTTAAGTATTAAATTATAATTTTCTTTTTTAATAACTAATATATTTATTTTTAAATTTTGAGAACCAATAATAATTAATAAATTAATTATATTTATTTTAAACTTTGAAAACTAATAATAATTAATAAGTTAATTATTTTTTCAAGTGTTCTTGATTTATATTTATTTATTTTAACAAGATTTATATTATTAGATTTTTGAATTTTTTAATTAATTTATTCAAACTATTATAAAATATAATATTACTAATTACTTTTTTATTACTTATTATTTTGCTAGCTTTTTATAATAATATATTATATTACTGATTTTTTTATTTTTTTTATTTCTTTATTATTATTAATTAATAATTTTTTGAAATATTTTTATTAAAATAGATAGCACAAAATTTATTGTATGAAAGATTTTGTTGTATTTAATATATTTTTATATTTAAAAAATATTTAAAAGTTTAAATACTATTTGTATTCAAATAAATATTTTGTTTATTATTTTATTACAATTAAATTTCTCTATATTTACTTATAACTTTTTATAATTATTCTATTTTGTTTTTCTTATTTATATATAAATATAATAAAAAAATCTTTTTATAATTATATTCTTTCTATAATTATTAAATTTTACTTTTTTAAGAGTAATAACTTTAGAAAAGTTTGATTATATTTATTATTTTGATTATTGTTTTAATTATTCTTATTTTAATTGTTATTATTTTAGCTATTATTATTTTTTTGTTATTATAACTATTTTTTTCAGAATTATTTTTCTTGCTATAGTAATTTCTTATAAAATAATCAGATTTTTTATAATTATAATATTCAAATAAATATTTATTATTAAACTGGTTATTATTAAAATTATTGGAATTTAATTTTTTAACTTAATTAAACTTTTAACTCTTTCAATTATTTAATTAATTTTGTAATTTTATTTTTGTCTATATTTAAAATAAAAATAAAATAATTATAAATCTTAATATAGTTGGTATATTAAAAATATGTTATTTACTTATATATATTATTAAAAATTTATATTATATAGTTGTATTATATTAATAACTTCTTTTAAAGTAACAAATTTAATTAAATTGATAAAGAATAAAATTTTTGATTTAAGTTTATTTATAAATTAAAATATTTATAAATAAATTAAATAGTTATTTACTTAATATAAAATTCTCTAACTATAATAATATATTGTTTTATATTTTTATCAGATAATTTTTTGTTCTTTTAATTATCTTTATTATTTATAAATTCAATTTTGAATTCTAAATTATATTTTAAATTGGTAAATTAATTATTAATATTATTTGAATTTCACTATATAAATCAATTTTCATCAAGTCTTCTGTTAGCAAGTCAAGTAATAATTATTTTTTCAAGTATGTTTTGACAATTTGTATTTTTTTATTATTATTTATTATATTAATTTAATATATATTTTCAAAATTTTGTAATTATCCAACTGGATCTTGGATATTTCTACAAATTTTGCTTCTTTATTATGATTTATAACATTTACTAAGTTATTTATCCTTGAATTAAATATTGAAAATTTTGTTGCATTTGATTAATTATTTATTGTTAATTTTCTTTTGGTTAATTTACTTTTATTATAATTGGTATTTGTTATCTTTGAATAATTGAAGTTGATTTAATTACTAGTGATTTTTTTGTTTTTTCTTGATATTAAAAAATGATGCTTGAGTTTCTGGTTGATTGAAAGATAATTTAACTTTTTGATTGAAGTATTTTTGTGCAAATTGATACATAGATAGATTTTGTAAAGTATAATATTTTTAATTAGTAATCCAAATTTGAATTTATCATAAAAAAAGTTTCTCAATGTGAGAAATTTACTAATTGAAAATTTTGATTTAAATTATCCAGTTTTACAAATTAACTAAAATAATCTGTTGTCAAAATAATTTTTAAAAATATTAAAAGTCTTGTGGTTCAAAATGAGTATTTTTGTTTTGTTTGGACTAATATTGATGAAGATAAAAATTCTAGAAAGTTTTGATCATGAGAGTTAATATATATATACTCAAATTAATTGGACCTATATAGCTCCAAAAGTCCAACTGGTTTGATTAACCTCTATATATATACAAAAAATTAACTTTTTCAATCAAAGATTCTAATTCCGTTCCATTAACAATTTCTCTTGTAACTGTATGACTACTTGATTCATTATATTCTGCGTAAGAGTCAATTTAAATGTGATAAATTTACTAAAAAAAATAACGTTTGAATAAAGATCAGGAATCTGATCTATATATGTCGGCCAGATCCGAACGTTAAATTAACTTGCTTTATATGGTTATTCTTGAGTAGTAAAAATTCACCATCCGAATAACGATTACGCCAAAATGAATAAGATTTTGTGTGACACTACACAAGTCATTAATTTCATGTAAATAAATATGTGAGATAAATTTAGAATTTAAGCATTGATTCATTAACACTACTTTATACATATTATTTTTCACCCTTGCAACATTTTCATTTTCTTCTTGTTATTATTCGAGACACCAGTCCCTTGTCTTTTTACATACACGCTCACCCGTGTAGTTATAAAGCATTCAATATTAATAAAATTCAGAAAAATTCGCCTTTACACTGTTCCTAAAATAAAGACTACGGTGAGGTATCAACGGTTAGTATTTTTAAAAACGAGTTTTTCCCAAGAACGCCGATTCGAAAACAAGAAAAAGACAATTACTCGCGAAACATTACGAGAAAAGTAGATCAGTCTTTCTATTTTTCGCAGAAATCTATCGGTTAAAAAAGAACGACGAAAAATAAAGTCCTGTTGTTTCAAGTTCCTTCTTTATGAACTATTCCTTCCAGCTAATTTGGAGGCGACCACACGAAGCACACGAAAACTCTTTCCGCAGCAAACTCGCGTCTATGTCGGGCTCACGTGACAAAAATAACAAAAAAGGATCTGACGTGTCAAGACTAAGCAATATAGGCATATAAAGAGTTAAAATTTAAGAAACGTTACTAAATTCTATTTTGGTTCTTGCTATTTTACAGAGCCGACTCTAAACCAATTTCCAAACGCGTCTCATTTGAAATTCACTGTCTACAGCTAAACTGTGCCCTTCTTTCACATAAAAGAGATTACTTTCAATGGCTAAAGGTAAAACTAGAGGTGCTAGTTCTCTTGGAAATCCGCAACCTAAAGGGAAAGCAAAAAGTGCGAGTTCGTCCGAGGTAAATGGACAACAGCTAAGTGTTGAGATTAAAGATTCTTCCGAGGTGGCTTTTATCATTGCCTTCTGCGAGAAATTTAAATCAGTCTTGAGAAGCCTTTCGTTTTGGACTGAGGTTAGTTCTTATTCTTCTTTACCTGCGTACGTATGAAAGACGCGTTCAAAATCTAAAATTATATTTTCTAGGATTTTGAAGAAGCTTTGCAAACTCATGAAGAATCGGAACTATTGGAAAGAATGATTTGTGTGTTTCTAACAAATTTCTTGAATCGTAAGAAACTAATCGAGTAAGCTATTCGTAATTCCTTAAAATTGTCTATTATTGCATTATTTCTCTTGAACCACATTGATGATTCTATTGCTAATATTATTAAATGAATTTATTAATAGAACAAACAACTATCAGGCCCTTCTTTCGACAGCTATCGATCAACATATTGAACAAGACAATCAAAGTTTCTATCTCGATCACAACCCTCTAAAAGATCATGACGGAAAAATAAATTTCTTCGCATTGGATACAAAAGACAAGGTATTTTCTTTAACTATATATCGATCACGTATATACTTTAAAGAAGCAAATATTTTAGATATTAAATGTTCTTTCTATACACAGATTTCGATCTTGCATTGTCTTGTTCATTGGCAATTACAAGAATCAGAGGTCATTCGAAAATTAATCGGTGATTCATACAAGCGTTATAAAAAGACTCACGAAAACCTTTTAGAATATGAAATAATCGGCGAGGATAGTAAAAATGCAAAATATTATCACATCAATAGTAAGTTTCTTTTTTCTCGTTCTGGGTAATTATCTTTCATAGATTTCCTCAAATAGTAGGTAACCTAATTTATCTTCGACATTCTATAAATGTAGCGAGGATCTATCGTGAAAAATTACCCAGAACCGGTACCAATTTCACAAGCAAAAACGTAAAGTGGGAAGCCGTGACGACTAATTTAGAGGAAGTGCAAGCATTGGTGAATAGTCTTAATCCTAAACGTGCTAAAGAAAAGGGGTTGCACGTTGCTATTCTTGAAAAAGTAATGCCAGAAGTCGAGAATCGATATAAGGTTCGATATCTTTATTTTTTTCCGAAATTCCACTTGTCGAGGTTTTTTAATTATTGACTGGATTATAGGTTAAGGAAAAACAAGAAAATCTGCAGAAACGCAAAGCGGCAAAAGCAGAATGGATTGAAGTAATGCGAACTGATGCTATTTCTACACGAACGCGTGCAGCAAGTCGTAAAGCAGAAGGCATTGACACTCCTGTAATTAGTTATCGTGAAGATGATTATGATTACGGTAGGTACGAAGGATTTGCACCATATCCGAATGCCGGTCGCAAGAAAACTTCCCGAAGTCTTCGGCAAGCCGGAGACAGTCGATCTTCATCTGATATTGGCACACCGAATAATACTTCCACACAAACTTCCTTACCAACAAATGGACGTATGACACGATCAAGATTTCGACTCTTAAGTACTAATAACTTGGAATCTTCGAACATAAGTTTAACGGATAGCAACACTTCCTTCACTACTATTGATCATATAATAAATAATGGTAATGGTGAAGTTATGATCGCCTCTGGTTCAACCACCCCCATAATAAATTATCATGGTGCTGAAACAGGTGACATCGACATATCCGATATCGAAATGACAGAGAAAACCGAATATACTTTTGCAAACTCTGGCGAATTATTAGAACTAACCACCGGGACTTCTTCCGATTCGAACACTGAAGCGATCACAAACACACCACAAGACTATGAAATGGCACTAAACGAGGAGGAACAAAGCATTGACACTCTCGAAAAAGAAACATCATTCGCTTCAACTTGCGGCGGATCTGTCATGTCTATCTCTTCGATCACAACTCCAACCAACGTCTTCCGTCCTGATGTGCAAGAAATGTCTGTTGACATTTAATTCTTATCAAGAACGATCAAAATAATTCTCTGCGAGAATTTTCTATATTTCTGTTCCTTCATAATAAAAAATCTAATTAATAATAATCAGTAGTTTTCTAAATGTGCTGCGGCCATTTTATGTATATATTTACATATGCGATATTATTATAATAATATTGATGTTTTTAGATGGGTGAGGTTCGGTTGTTATACACGAGTATGTAATATAAATGCAATATTTTTATTTTGCATCGGACCTTTTACTCCTTTGTCTGTCATGTCGGACCGAACGCGATCATCGTTTTCTTTAAATAAATAAAAGGTTAATTAAGTTCTTGTTAGTTTGGACTTCAAAAAATGATGTGGCGGATACTTTTTTGTGTTTAATCAGACTTTAAATATTCTAATAATGTATGTTCTGAAAATCACGTGATAAATTAAAAAAATCACTACCAACACAAATTAGCCAAATAAGTTCGAAGAATTTTATTAATTCTATTATTGATTGATCGATATAATATTTTTAGTTTTGAAAGGAAAACAAGTTTGAAAAAAAAGGAATTAGTATATAAACAACTATCAATCATTCTTCACGAATATTATATATTATATATTATGTATAAATATGTCTAGAATATCGAAATGAAATTTTTCTTTGTCTTTTTTTCTTTTTATCATCATCAATCAACCTCTCCTATTTTTCGTCTTTCTCACATTAATTTATAATCATTATATACAATATATAATTAGATATATATATAAGTGTGAAAACGAAGATGGAGAAGTGAATGCGAAAATGGTACTGTAAACCATGTGTGTATTAAAAGTAAAGGAGACTAGAAATCATTGTTCTTTGTTGGTTTGTTTGTGTTTGTGTATTATCCAAAAAACCCAACTCAAGAAAAAACAGTTAATAAAACGTGCTGAGAGAGAATATTAGAAATATATATGCTGTATAAAGAGAAAAAGTAATAGATATGCTTTTTGGTGATCGTCTATTGTTAGCAGTAGTGAGATGATATAATATGACCGACGATTGCCATATTAGGAAAATAAAAAGATATGAATTCGATGATACAACAAAATGAAATTATACAAATATCGCCTACCTCTCATTATTATATCACTTTCCCTACCTGTATAGTAAGTAGTATATTCATCTAGTGACAACGGACTACGATGATACTACATCGAAGACAATTTGATTTTTTCGCTAATCCTGCAACATTCAGGGTTTAGCAGTGGTGGGCTGAACTGTAGTGTTTCCAATGGACCAGGTCCAGTAGTTACACTGGACCAATGGACTTTGGTCTATGTTCCATTGCGGCGCAGCTTGAATATATTTTCAGTTAGGGTAGAGACATTAATCAGGTGATTTTTTAGGGAGGAAATCAGGTGTAGATCAAAATCAGGTGATTAAAAATTCTTAGCCAATCAAAAAAATCAGGTGGGAGGGAGAGGTAAGCTTCCTATTAATCGGAAATCACCTGATTAATGTCTATACCCTTACCAATGGACCAAGTTAACTATAATAATAAATCATTGAGTTGCCAATGACCAAAGTCCAATGATTATACCGACCTAATGGAATAATGGACTATTCTCAATGGAACACTGGTCCAGTGTACATCAATTAGCTCACCAACACTGGGCTGAACTACTCGAAGTCTTTGGTAATAGTTCACCGATACTCGCATTCCTCAGAAAGGGAAACAAAGCTTCACCTGCTGAATCGTACCTCGTTTGATGGTTCTCTTTGTAGCTCGCTCATCAACAACTTGTGGCCCCTCTCCCTGTCTATTAACCGGTCTGCTAATGTATGTCCTCCACTTGCACTAGTCCCCTCGTAGTGGAACGACGGACAAATATAGATATTTTTGCCGTTATGTTCATTCAACTGAAAACCCGGCCTCTCGTTGGGATTCAAATGTACGAATCCATAGTTAGACAATGACCCCATTGCTTCTATCGCGAATGGATAATTGGAAAAAATTCATGATATAACCACTATCATCTATTAATTAGAAACTCTGTCGTCTACGTCGCACATCTTGCGAAGAAACATGATAAATCCAATTAAATAAAACCAGTTACCAATTGTAATAAACACTGCGAACATCTAACTGTTTGTGATCAGCAAGACAATAAAAAAATTCGCGCGAGTCATCTATCCTTTCCTTGATGACAACAAAATGACCGATGTTTATCAACGAGCTTCTCCTAACTTTAGAGCAGAAGGGTGCCCTTGGCGTATATTTTTCGAAGGATAGTTCCCAGGAACTCATCTTTTCTGTGTGTCAAAATATATTGTTTTTGAAAGAGCCTGGTCCTTTTTTGAATGTACTATCTTTTGAAATGATAACGGTTAAGCCATAGGGAATTACATATATACGCTCCATCATTCTTAAAAGATCATAAATTTTATGATCTTCATTAATTTCGATTTCTGATTATGTATTGAGGGTATAGTGTGGCTAGCTTATACATCCAATTTGTAATTTAGTTGTTGTCCGCGTCCAAACATCAGCGATAAGTATTCGGTTTTTACCCATGATTCCTTCATTTCCTAAAAGCACCATCTTGCCATTGCATGAACCAAGAGACATTTTATTTGCCCTATTATAGAAAAAGAGCAAATATCACATTGATATATTGCATATTAAATGTCAAATAAAGCAAAAATGATTAATTTGTAAAAATTACCAGTCAATTGTCCTATTTGGACCATCTGGGAAAAATGGTCGCATAAAAGGATGCAATGAATGATGTACGTGTGTATCTTCTATGACTCGAGGGCGAAACTAGTTTCGCCCAATTTGATCTAACTGGGCGAAACGTTTCGGGATTTGAAAAATAGTTTCGCCCGAAACATCAGCTCGAGGATTATCAAAGCTTATGCTCCAATTCTCTGCGCTAATTAGGTTTGATGTATTTAAATGCCGAATTATTTAATATCCTGAGAAATACAACAATCAAACACCAAGCCAAACAATATACTTACATGTGAGCTCCAAACATTCCGACTAGTTATCTTTTTAATTGTTTTAATAAATCAGAAACAAGCTTCAAACAAAAGTGTGGAGCTGATTTTTAATACAACTCGTACAACAAGTTAATAACATCCAAACCAAGAAAACCGAGAAACAAAAGATCAGAAAAGTTTCAAACCATCAAAGAGCTTTGCTACGTAATAAATTCATGGTAGTGTCTCTGAACAAGAATTCGAAAATTAGAAAATCACTATCTTAAATTACCTCCTCCATGTTGGAGAGAAATTATGGAACGGAAGTGGCAACAGCGGTCATGATAAAAAAAGAGAAGTGATTGATTGGTTAACGATTAGTTTGAATGATTCATTTTCTCTCACGTCGTTGTTTGTTTCGTCGCGTAGATTCTGCAATTTTTAATCTGCTGTCTGACTTTTTGAACTGTCTATGGTTAAATTGATACTTCAATCGAGGCGGTAATTTTATATTAAAGATGGTGGCGGCGGCGACGTTTTCATCATCATTATTATTAGCATCACCATCATCAATGATTACGATGCTGGCGGCGGCGATTTATTATTAGCGATAGCAGCATTTTCATTATTATTATCGGTGGCGTGGTTGGTGACAATATCGGTGGTGGTGATTAGGTTATTAATTTCATAACGCCTTTGGTCACGCAAGGTTTTTATCAAGACACCTTTGCGACAGTTCTCTTTCGTCAACATAAATCGTTTGCACTTTATGGGCAGTTTTCGTAGCCTATGGTGGGACCTGCGGGTCTCCCACTCACCCCAAAGAGAAATGACTATAGAGGTGTTTGACTGTATGTCAGCCCTAAGGGCCTGTACAAGACTAGATTTTTGAGGAACTTGAGAATCTCGTTCGGGATAGGGCACTCAATGACGCTGATAATCGTGTGCGTGAATTTTCGCGAATATGACTACACGTTTGATACTGATCAGCAGCATCTGATAGGGGATATTATGCTTGGAGGGGAGGCCGCACTTTGTGTTCAGATTCTGCATCGTTATTTGTGAAAGGCAATCGAATGAATGCCCGCAAAGATTTCTAATGCTGGAGCCGAGGTATTTACACAACGTAATACGGTACCATTGACACGAATATCCAGCAACCAACGAAAAAGCTGATAGATATAGACGCGGGAAGCGTTTCGTGCAGTGATAAATGCAGTGGGTCGTTTAAGTTGTGGAAAAGTAGTCGAGAACGTGTTATCCTGGGTTACCTCTAATAACGTTATCGATATTGAAACTAAGCTCATACAAGAGGGGGACCTCTCGATCTCGAAATGCGGGTGTAGAAGGATAAAACTTCAGACTTCTCCGTCGCTCAATGAACAAATCAACAAGATTTTGGACCAAGCATACGCGTGCGAGCAGAAACGTCCTCAAAGGACCTGCTGACAGTGACACTTACGTAACCACTCTCCCGGATCATTACAAGACCAGCGCACTTTGCTTTGGCACTTCCATTAAATTTGCTCGGCGAAGTTGATACAGTCAAGAGATCCCGGGGAAACGCTGGCTTGGGTAAAATTATGTCAGAGCAACCGCCACGTTTCGCTGATGTCTATCGGATATAGGAAGACATGTTCGTACTTTCTTTTTGAAGAAATACACTTTGGCGAAAGGCTCCGAATCGATTGATTTTTATGAGGTAATGCGATTTTGGGAACGCGGTGAAAAAAAATCTCGGAAAGATCGCAATTGACTTACAGTAGGGGCCATAAGTATCCGAACGCCCGGCATTACCCAAAATCATACTATAACGATCACCATAGTTCTGGTCGAAACTAAAAAAAAATATTAATTGTCACGCTGATGCTGAAATTGACCAATGAAATTAGAGAATAGAAATTGATCGGCCAATAGGATGCGCTAATTTCAGTATCAGCCATCAGCCGTTACATTAGAAGACGATGATGTGTATTGTGTGTTAACTATTTTATTCACGAAAAGCCAAAAAAATTAGGTCGAAAGTTCCACTCCGAAAAAATGCAATCGTTTGGGCATCTTTTTCGCAACGAAGCTGCAAAATTCGGTGACTACAAATCAGCACATTCTGAATACACAAAAAGAATTACAATCAACCCTAAAGACCCGGAATTGTGGTCTGATCGGACAATGTTATGTTATACGCTGGATATCCGGAACTTACTCTGGCAGATTCGATCTGAGCAGTTCACATAACTAAATCATCCTGTCTGAGATTTTGGAACAAATATTATCTACCCGATGATTATGAAGAGGAATTGGCGGAAAAATATCTGGACATTCAATTTACAGCCACATTTAGTGAATACTTGGCGTTTACTAAATCGGGGCAACATCTGTTTGCTATTAGATCTTGTGAATAATTACTTAGAAGGGGAGAATACCACAGCGACATCGAGGTTTTTTTTATTGGTCTGCAGTAGAAAGTTTACTTGAAGATTGTAAGAATGAATATTATACAGGGTTTTCAGGGATATGTTCAAAGTTATGGGAATTATAATTTTCGAGGAGAATATCCGTGGGATTCAAGACAAGCGAATAGAAATGTCTGAAGGAATTTACACCAGAAAGTTTCATCTGCAAAAGCTGAATTGATCAAAGTTAGTTTTGAGGGGAGTAAAGGTGAATCTCAGTATGGCCTTCAAACGCAATGCGATATACCGGTAAATACAATGATATTTGAAGAAGAATCATTTCTAGAGTCAATTCCAAAATACTCGAACGATGTGAATTTATATGCCCTCGAAAAGGTTGCAATGAAGTTTACTGTGATACACAATGTTATCAAAAGGCCTATAAACTATAAATTTCTCTGCGGAAGAGATTTTAGCGATGTTTTAGCGGCTGTAAAAAAAGGAAAATCAAATCCATCACTTGGCCATTTATTCATAATCAAGCTATTTGCAATCGGTAAATTAAATTGCAAATATCTGCCCTTTAGACATTGAGGAAATCAAGCATCTAAAACGTTGGAAGCACAAGAACAGTGGCTTTTTGTACGTCACACTTCAATTGCATGATAGGTTAACGCGAGGATTAGACATTTCACCTGGGGATCTTAGATTCGATTACTGGGTATATATCACTTGTCTTTCTGCTATGAAGTTTAATGCGTTCAGTGGGTCTACTGATCGCCCAGATGAATCAACTATCTTTCCACTGGTGTCACTTTTGAATCATGATTGTGCGCCTAATGCTGTATGGAAAGGAGGGGAGAGATGGCAAATGAAAGCACGAAAAAACATCAAGAAAGGAGAAGCGATTACTATTAATTATATTAATGCTCCTAGTGATCATAGTAGTGGCTTGAAGTGTTTTTATGATATATAGTGCAAGTGTGCGCAGGGTGGTAGTAGTATTTTTCCTTTTGATGTTAATTATTAATCATTGTTATAAAATGTAAACTTGCTTCTCGCATTTCTTCTGATAATTCTTTTTCACTCTATCCTAAAAAAATGAAAACACAGTGTCTATTAATTTAATACTTAGCGTTAGTAATGGCTATCGATATAGTACATGTATATGAAAACATTATCCAACTAACAATCTAAAAAAATAATTACTCCAGATTTGAGGACACCTCAGCTTCAATAAAGGCCAGCGTAAGCATATGTACTTTATGCGGATGCTGTTATGACATCGATCTTTACCACTGACGATAATAACTAATAGTAATCATTTCTATTTGTCCAATGCCACTTATCTCCCGGTTCTAACTTGAGTTTAGCCTTGCTACAAGAGTAAGTAATGGCAAAATCTGAACGATTATTTTCATATTTATTGGCATCGAATGGCGCAAACAAATATCTAACATCACTATTATTATCTCGTAGAAACTACAAGAAAGAATTCTCGATTTCTCAACGTCGATGTTTGATCTCGACAGACATTCGTCAGTGTCCAAAACCAGGTTGCAAAGAAGACTGTTGTGACATACAAACTTTTTGTAAACTTTGTGGAAAAAATTATAGCAATATTTAGAAATAGTAAATAGAAATTCACATATTTAGCATATTACAATTGTCACAACTAGAGATGCAGACATTTCTCAGGTCAAGGATTGCAATCTTAATTACGGTATGACTCAAGTTATTTCATGTTCTAATGTCTGCACCTCTAGTCACAACCACCATTTGGACTTATAAAGCTGCGCCATTTGGATCATGAAACTTAAGAAATTGGACTATTGAAATAAGAAATGCATACTACCACTTTGTCTTTCGAAATAGTAATTCATCGCTATGTTCAAATCAGCAACCCTATTGACATAAAGTAGTTCATGCACACATATGAATTAACTAATGCGCAATCTTGTCTTTTTGAAATAATGCAAAGCATGGAATCCAAATACAGAAATACTTTGTTTTTAAAGTTTTTTGGGTTAACTGTTTGGTTGAAAGATCTATTCATGTGCTGAAAAACAAGTTTGAAACAATAAAAGTGCATGCAGTATGCATGGATTATCGTTGCCATTAAAACATTATCTTTTTGACCCGCAAAAATATAGAATGATAATACACACTATCGCTATACTCGCTTCAAACCAACAAAAAAATCATTTTTGATCAGTTAACCTATCTTCCAGCCACAATGGAAGCTATAGGACATCGATACGAAGCCGTGAAAGAAGACGACTACAAAACTGTGCATGCAGAATACAGAAGGGAATCACATTCTATTCTCACAACGCGTCCTTATAGTGTAAACATTCATAATGGGCGTACAATGAATTATATAGGACCCGTCTTTACTAACAAAAAGTTCTCATTAAACGAAAATTGATTCAGATTAAATTTAAATGGAGCTTTTGCCGGATGAAATTGAGACCTGTGATATTTTGCTGAAATGAATAATTGTGTAAAAATTACCGTCTTTCGTGGACTAAAGTGCCCTCTGTAGAAAATTTAAACCTTTAATTTAACCTCAAAGCTAGTAACGTAAATTTTTGATGAAATTGTACCGTGAATCTTGCTTTATTCATTTTTTAGAAAAATTATTTTACTAAAAAAATAAAGTTTTAAATTTTCTATTGAAGGGAGGCGTACTTAGTCCACGAATACGGTACGTAAAGACTACCAAGCGATTATATTTATCATAGTGCTTATATTTCGAGGATCATAAGATGCAGCAAATAAATGTGATAAAAATTTTTTCAAAGTTAGCAACAGAATTTAAAGTAGTTAAAGTCAAGTTGAATATAAATAATATCAGAATAATATATCAAAAAATCAATTGATATTTGCAGAACATAAGGTTCTTTGTGTTAAAAATATAAGTTATTTAAGAGTAAAACAGAACTTCTACGTTTGCTTGATCAAAGCTTTTTCCAATCCCAATAGATACCCTATTAAAAAAAGACTAAGACAATGTATAAGGTAAATCAAAACGTGTAAAATAAATTGAAGTTGTATAGGTAAACTTCAGACAAATATCTATGCAGTTTTATCCGACCCTGCTCGGAGAAAAAATTATGATGCTGGCGGGGATGGCTCTAGTTTTGATTTTTTTTTCATAGGGATATCAAAAAGTCAAACCAAAGATTACTTCTCCTATAGTCTCATTGTACGAGAGAATAATAGAGAGTTTGGAAATGTTCTCAAGTGATTATGCTTTGAATTCTAGTATCTGCGTTGATAAATCCGAAGATTCGCGTCCAGATTGTTTGTTGTTCGGTATATCCATTAGCTGCCAAATTGAACGAAAATCATTATACACAAGAGTGGACGAGTAAACAGATGCTGCGTTAGTCTCGTAAATGTTCCGATTGTAGTAGCGCTTTTAATTCGCTTTGAAATTTTGTAGAGTGAATTTCTATAGAAAATTCAGTCGTCGTGAAAAGTTTCATATATTTGTGACTTTCCTGTTATTAATGCCATCAAATTGTTAATACAGTTGTTTCTCTTCCTCACTCGAAATAAAAACTTGCGCGATCTCGTTATGTTTTACAAGAATTCTGACTACATATGAAGCATTTTTTCATAATTGGCGTACGTGTCAGGAAAAAACATAACACATGCATAGTCAATCGGTAACGGTAAAAAAAAATATAAAATCAATCAGAACTTCTATAAAACAAAAATAGACTGTAACTTTCAATGATATTAATTAATTTAAACATATGAATTCTTTTCAATAAAAATTAAAACACATCACTCGCAGAAACGAAACTTGTGACTACAGAACAGCAATTGAGCATAGACTTTTCTAAAACCGAACTTGTTCTCGTAGATTCACTTTGTAACTCAAAATGAAGATATCTCATCGGAACGAAAACAATACAACTCAGACTGTAAGCTAAATATCGTGTTTCCTAAAATGGAGCTTTGCATCACTTTCGATCGGGTCTCGGTGAAAAAGAAATGTGCACAAAACATGATAAAAGTATCTAAAATATGGATATTAATTCGAAGAATCTTTATCTCTGAGATGCAATCCGAAATTTGAAACAAAAGGTTACAGATTTATTCTTCAAGGTACTTATCACGAAGTAGAAGCGAAGTGAAGTTTTTTTTGTTATCAATTCTAGAGCAACGGCACGTTGCGATTATTGTAATATAGACATCTCTCTTCTCTTTTGACATATCTGCCTTAAATTAGGCTGTAACGAAAAAAATAGAATTTAAATGAGATAACTAAATGACGCAAAATGAGAGAGATAGAATGAAATAGAAATGAATAGAAATGACGTAAATGTAGAATGAGATGAAAAAGTTTACTGTAATTTTCAAGATTATAAACAGGCATTTGATATTAAAATTCTCGTGGCAATGATATTTTGAAGGTTATGCAATGACTTCATCACCACGTCAAGCTCTTTGATTCAGTAAAGTTTGGAACATCTGTCCTTTAGACATTGACGAAGTCAAAAAGTCAGATTGGCTGCTAGTCTCGCTATAAAATTAGGAGCATCGTTATTGTTACCATTTCAGTGACATTTTTAGAAATAAATTTACAGTCAGGAGGCTCGATTTAACGACTATGCGATTTAATGAAATCGCGAGTTGGCGACTCTTGTCCTTGAATTTAGTGATGCCTATTAGTATTCTCGTGATCTAGAATCTTAAAATTTGATAACGCATTCAGAATATAAATTTCGAATAGTCTATTTTAATCGAATAAAAAGAATGTTTTATTTTGATATCCTTATATAGGAATACAAAAAACCTTTAAGGCGGAGAAATTAAAAAAGGAAAAAGCGTGATAAATAGAGCTTCGAAATACTTGATCATAACAAGTAAAATTCAATTCAACCTTTCGAAACGATCAAGTTTATGCTTTTAGTAATATGAATGGACGATACAATATCTGCCAGAACGGAAAAAGGTAATAAGTGTTGGGTATGGGTCAGGGTACGGGTTGTCTTTATAAAAACAGTAAAACATAATATTAATATAGTATAGTAAAGCCTGTCTTGATCACCCATACACATTAGTACTTACCGCCACAGGTTTTGGTTCTCTCTTGTACTATTTTTAGTACGATAAGAATCCATACCTAACCCTTTTCCAGAGGTACATCCTACTGTATTACAGATACCGAATTTCTATATGTAGTGTACTAGTTATCGCATATATACATATACACATACGATTGTGTACGTTCATCACATCATTTGATATTTCAGTGACGCTTTATAATTCGAAACTTTATTCCAAATCCAAAAATTCTCAAGCTTAATTAGACCAATCGAACAATTTAAAGTTTCCACCGAAACAATGACAAAACTGATGTTTAGAAACGAAAAATCACACGCTTACATAACGCAGTTTTTTTTATTTACAAATAAAATATATTTATTTATTGGCCAATTTAGTTTAAGTTTTATGAAAATATCGCGCGTTTTCAAAGTTAACATAATTACTCGCGTTGGATATCAATGTGTAACGTTTAATTGAACCTCAATTCAGTAAGTCATCAACGCATATGACGTAATGGTGTTTTACAAGAGGATATTTTGCTACACACTATCGCCATAATACGGAGTGACAAGTATTGAATTAAAATGTCGAATGATATTTTTTTTGACTACTTAAAAATCATCGTTATAAATTTAATTAAAATCCACAGATATTTGTTATATAATAAATAATCACATTAGCTTTCTATGATCTATTCAAGCGAAGATATACGGTAACTGGTGATAGTTGCAATATTTGCGTCACAATTAATTATTTCCGTGGTCCGCAGTTTTTTTTTAGTATCCAGCCAAAAATCCAAGCCAAGGCAATTCAATCCAAGCCAAAGCATGGGTATGTATAGTAAAGATTCAATCATTACACGTGTTATCTTACATATTATGAATAGACGTGATAAAAGGATAATAGGAAATTAAAAATAATTCTTCGATTCTTTTAGCAATAATTATTAGTCACTTATCATCAATATTTTAATTGTAACATAAATAATACATCAAATAGACGGCAATTCAAATAATATATATTAAAACAACGTCATGTACGTTGAAAATTTTTATTATTTATTATTTATTATTTATTATTACCATTATTTCATATTTTAATATGTTATATTTATTAATAATAAATTGGATCATGCGCATAGCTTTTCAATAACAAAACGTCCGGGGGGGGGGGGGGAAGCAAAAAAAAACTGTGTGCCTAACGCTTTGTTGTTAATTTATCATATTATTCTATTGTTATATGTATGATGATGATACTGCAACATGATAGATAGATAAATTATTTTTTGATATAAATACAGTGACTTTCTGGTGCTTGGGTACACTATACTTTACCCGCTTTTGATCTTCTCTTCTTTATATGTATAGTATACCTTTTCTCTTCCTTACATGTAGTATAGTAAATATAAATTAAAAATATATAAATAAATATTTTCGATCACAATCAAGTAACAAAAACGCGTAACAGAAGATTGTTATAATATTTTATTGAATTTACACGCGTTTTTTTTTTTTCATAAAATCAAACCCTCTCGAAACATCAAACTAGATCTCCCAAACACTTCTCCCAAGACACAATGGCATCAACAGCCACATTGACAGCTACAGATTCGCGCACAAATAAACACCATTCTCACTACTACTCCACTACCACGACTACAACTTCAACTTCTTCATCACCAACCCAGCAAATTTCAAAAACAAAAATACGAAATCCAACTTCTAGTACTGGGGGATCTTGGAATAATATTCCGGTCGATTTGGATGATCCTGGTTCATACAGTTATCACCCAACAGCTGCGATGGTAGAAGCTGCAAAAATTGACTACGCAAACAGACTGTTTAAGTACACGTTTAAGAAATTGTGTCGTACTGTACATAATATGAAGAATAATGGTAACAATAAGACAACAACTATTACTAATGGAACTACTACAAGAAGAAACGCGGGACGCGAATCTACATCTATCGATGCTGCTGCTGTCTCGAGCAGAGCCTTTGCGGAAACGCTCAACTCAAGTGAGAATTAATTAGTTTATCGAGATATGAGAATCGATATGATTGATGATGATCATGGGTGTCTCATCTTGTCGTTTTATCTTAATAATACATGTAAAAAGCTTCACGCTAATCCATAGCAAAAGAGATGTTATAATTCACAACAAAAAAAGTTATAATTAATCACTCTAATTCAAAAAAAAACTAACCAAAGCATAGGTAGTAAATAGCAATAGCAATAGTATAGCCAGAGTCATGTACTATTTTACTATTATTATAATTATTACAATAAAATTCTATAACTTGGTGTTGCACTTGAAAAATATTATCCATCATTATTTTGAAATATCGATTTTCGTGCAACGTGTTTATTTAATTAGTAACAGTAACACAACGGCTGATTGTCACGGTCTGACAAATGACGATAGAAAAATTTTCTTATAAATCTAATAGAGGACAAAACATTTTACTTCCCTTTTCCTTTTCTTTAAGTCAAATTTTTTAGGGAACGGTAAATTTTTTATCTTTCCTTATCAAAAACATCGCCCAACACGTTCGCAAATCTACTTAGCTCTACACACAACCCTCATCGGGGTGTGAAGAGAGTCGCAGCAAAGCCTAAAACTCTTCCCTAGTTTGTTCAATTCTACAATTTTTCTTAACTCTTACCAATCACTTGTTAAAATGTCACCACACAACGAGCAAATCATCCCTGAAATCCCCACGGTATCAAGTACCGTCAAGGTGGATTCGCCTAATGTTCAATACACTAGCAACCATATCTACGCCGACTACATATACACCAACGCTATTGTTCAAACAAACTCTGATGGCACTTTTAGTGTTAATCCTACAGAGACTAAATATCAGTTTAAAACTGACTTAAAAATTCCAAGAGTTGGGTAAGTAGGTGGAATTTTCTCTATATGCAAGATAATCTTTTTATCGAGCTCGGAAAATTTTTTTAAATCCATTAATTCATGCATGCAGTCAGTGTCTTACCAAATTAAACATGATCGTCCTTTTGATTTTCTATTCTAGAAATATAGTCAAACCTCGATATAACGAGGTGAATTTACTGTAACCGTTACTTCGTTATATCGAGGTTTGACTATATTTAATTGAGATGGACGCGTAATAGTATTTAACTAAAATTTCATGATCGGTTATTAAAGGTTAATGATGGTAGGATGGGGCGGAAACAATGGATCTACTTTGACCGCCAGCATTATTGCCAATCGTCGTAACATCTCTTGGCGCACCAAAGACGGCATCAAAACTCCCAATTACTTTGGTTCTGCTGTACAAGCGTCGACTTTGAAGCTCGGTGTTGACGCGAAAGGCCATGACGTTTATATTCCATTCAATCAAGTCCTCCCGATGGTACATCCCAATGATTTAGTTCTCGGTGGTTGGGACATTAGTTCTCTCAATCTAGCTCAAGCCATGGAACGCGCCAAAGTTCTTGACTATGATCTTCAACGTCAAGTAGCGTCCGAACTTGAGCATCATCAACCTTTGCCATCTATCTATTATCCAGACTTTATTGCCGCGAATCAAAGCGATCGTGCCGATAATTTGATTCCAGGCACCAATAAAAAAGAACATCTTGAACATATTCGTAATGACATACGTGAATTCAAGCGGACAAATCATCTTGACAAAGTCATTGTGGTGTGGACTGCCAACACTGAACGTTATGCTGAAATCATCCCAGGAGTCAATGATACCGCTGATAATCTTTTGGCCGCCGTCGAAAAAAGTCATTCGGAAATCGCGCCATCTACTATTTTCGCATTGGCCTGTATTCTCGAAAAGACACCATTCGTTAATGGATCTCCGCAAAATACTTTTGTTCCTGGATGTATTGAATTGGCTGAACGTGAGCACGTCTACATTGGGGGTGATGATTTCAAATCTGGTCAGACTAAAGTGAAATCAGTGTTGGTTGATTTCTTGGTGAACGCTGGCATTAAGCCCGTCGGTATTACTTCCTATAATCATCTCGGAAACAATGATGGCAAGAATTTATCAGCTCCGCAGCAATTCCGTTCCAAAGAAATTTCGAAAAGTAATGTTGTCGATGACATGGTTGCTGCTAACCACATCCTTTATAAACCCGGTGAACATCCTGATCATGGTAATTTTGTTCTTCATTTTTTAGAATGCAAGAATGTGACCAATTTCTGTGCGCTTTAAGCTAACGAAATTTTTGTAGTTGTTGTGATCAAATATGTTCCGTCTGTCGGCGACTCGAAACGTGCTTTGGACGAATATGTCTCGGATATCTTTATGGGAGGCAAAAATGTAAGAAATCATTACGTAAACGACTAAATAATCTGGCTTCTATTTAACTCGAAATTATGATTAATTTATTTAAATAAAATATAGACGATTTCTCTATATAATACATGTGAAGACTCGCTTTTGGCATCTCCGCTCATCTTGGACTTAACAATCATCACCGAACTGATGACCCGTATTGAATATCGCGTAGCTGGCATGGAAAACTTTGCTCCATTCGATTCGGTTCTCTCCATCTTGAGCTATATGCTTAAAGCACCCCTTGTTCCAACTGGCACTCCCGTGGTCAACGCGTTGAGTAAACAACGTATGGCTATGGAGAATCTGTTCCGTGCTTGTATTGGATTGCCGCCTCAAAATGAAATGCTGTTGGAACATAAGGCACCTCGCATTACTAAATTTAGTTAGTTTAGCTAATTGAGTAAATTGAATTTATAATACTTTATTGATTTATATTTTTTCTATCTATTCTTCCATATCGAAATGATAATATATGTCTTGTAGAATTACATATTAAATATACGTATAACTCTTAATCATTTACTTTATTACTGCTAATGAGTCTTAATCAGATTTGGTCTAAAGTCGGACTTTTGAGTAGTCACGTAATTTCCACGTGCATGCATAATATCGTGACACTATGTTATTTTATTCATATATATTAACATTAACTTTGCATTTATTCTAAGAAATAATTCATTACACCCAATAGAGAGAAAACTGGTATAGATTTAATTAGATCATTTATACTAACAAAAGAAAACTAGTAATTATGATAGATTATTTTACTAAAAATAGATTTTTAAACTGTTCTAAAGAGACATAACTAAGGTTGCTTGCCGAAATCTCTTAGTGACTGTCTAAATTCTGTCAAAATTATAATAAACTATTAGTAAATAACACGTCAAAATGCTGACGAATTTTGAAACCCGTCGTAACCAAAATTATGTCGAAATTCTAATTAACAATTAGTGTGTAACCCGTCGAAATTATGACGATATTTTTCTGAAAGAATTTAGGCAAGCATCCTTAGACATAACTACAATCTAAACTAATTTTAATTATATTTCTAAATTAGTTTCAGCTATATTTCTAAACTATATCATCAGTTTTGGAATTATTTTTATATTGTACCAAATAATTAGAAACAAAAATAATATTTAACAATATAGCTAAAAATAGTGTGATAACTATTACAATATAATGATTATTAGTTATAACTAGTTGCAATTTATAAAATTTTGAATTTGCAACATATTATAATGGATAATAAATAAGTATTACATATTTGTCATATTATTTCTAAGTATAACTAAATTAATAATTTTATTTTTATATAAAAATATATTTTATCAAGATGAATTTTCAAAAGAAATAATATTAAACAGATACAATATTTATCAATAAATTAATTAAAAAATTATATGATAAATACCAAATTAAATAGAATATTATATAACTTGATTGAAAAATTAATTCAACTATATAAAAAAAGAATAAAATAAATATCTTTTATCAATATTTTTTGCTTATAAAATAATATAACAAATTTTAATAAAATTTACTTTACTATAAAAACAAGTAATTATATATTATTAAATTATAATTATTTGAAAATAAAAATTAAATAATTTTAAATAATCAAATGAATTTGTATTATAGTGCAAAAAATTTAGTTACATCATCAAAAACTGATAATTTTTAAAAAGTAATAACTAAAAATAATATTATACCTTTGAAGAAATATATCAATTAATTCAACAAATAATTCAATAATTGATCGAAGAAGACAATGGAAGTGATTATGACACTTGTGAAGAAATCCTGGATAAATATTATGAAGAAAAAGAAGAAATCAAAGAAATGAATTATTGTCTCAAAGTTTACAATAACAATGAAGAAGAAATTATATCCAAACAAATACATAGCACTGATGCAGGCTTTAATTTGTATTATTCTGGTACAGAAGTGCTAACTGTGCTGCCTCAACAAACAATTTTAATTGATATTAAAATTGCAATA